AAAAAAAAAAAAAAAACACGAGATGATCATAACACTTCAGCTATCCAAAATTTTGTAGCATTATCTCCGAGCCGAAGAGGAATAATTATGGAATGTTACCAAAAAGGTTATTTGTGGTCATGTTCTCGCTTTGTATTGTGACGATGAATACCCGTACGTGCGGTGCGAGGGTCTTGTCTTGGCTTTCAGTGTCGATTAACGCCCCCAGTTTCCCCGCATTCTGGGTCGTCGTTGTTCCTGCGAAGATTTCACGGATAAAAGCAAGAACCATGTTCTGCGCAATGACAGCATTTCGGTATTGCAGCTGTGCATTCAATATAGACACACGCTTTTCGAACCAGACACACGCTTTTCGGGCCAATTGACGATGTGATTGAATAAAATGTATTCATCGGAATGCTGATTCTCCGAAAATTGGTATTGCGACCGCTAAAAAGGTTTCCTCTCGCTTGTAAAACCATCAGTTGATGTCCCATATGCCTCTCAAGGTTACCTCTGTTGCATATTTCATCAAAACTCCCGAGATCCTTCCATGGATAACTCATTCAAGTCCGCCATCCTTTCACCAGAGGGCTTCGCTCCACGCCTCAATTCTGCCATTCTGCTTTTCCTTGGCTTTACAGGCTAGCCTTGAGCTCCGAGACCCACATGGAAGGCGGCTTGGTAGAGTAGTTGACGAGATCCTCCTTGAGCTTGGTCTGCAGCTCGGCGGGCGCCTTGGTCTGGACGCTGACGAGGGCCTCCATGCTCTCAAAGGTGACCTCGAGGACGGCGGCGTAGGGCGAGTTGTCGCCCAGGGGCGTGTACAGCTTCCAGTCCTTGAGGCCGCTGGTGATGGCCTTCCAGCCCTCGACGGCCAGGGGAATGTGCTTGCTGGTGTAGTACTCGACGTTGAAGTCGGAGCCTGATGGGTAGGCAACGTTGAGAATAACGGGAGCCATTTTTGTTTCTTGCTTTTATTTGACTTTTTATCTTTTTGTTGAGACCGAGGGTTGAATATGATGGGATATGATATGGTTTGTAAGTTTTTGCTAGAGATATGTTGCGTCACACAAAGTATAACGACGTGCAAATTGGTTGCTGATGTCTATGTTATATTTATACCTTGGTACGGTTAAAGCTTCCCGTTCAATGCCCATCCACGTGGAAACCCACCCCCCTGATTGCTAAGCAGAGTGGAACAGCAAGACTTTCCAAAGACGATTCCCAGGTTCCATAGTTCAGAACTCATTGCCAAATTAGGGGTGTCGAGACAAACACTATCAAGTCCCGCAGAAAAGACAGACAAAAGAGGTTGCAGAGACCGAGGCAGTATTTTGTCCAAATCGACAGGGTTATCAGCTCGCCGGCCAATCCGAAATCGAGGGGTTCTGCCTCCACTATAACTGCCCCATTAAATGGGCCTCGGCATTGATAAAAGATGCCTTTTATGTCATTGGGGACACTATCCTATCAGGGAATCTTTGCTATGATCGTTCTATCCTGTACTATTCTGGTATGCATGAAGTCTTCTCATGACATGTTCACAAGGTGTTCTAGATTCCAAATGCACAATATGGTGCGGACACGCCCGCATGTCATACTGGACAATCTTTATGCGCGTTGGGTTGTAATGTCGGCACCATTCCGCCCCGACTCCTCCGGCGACTCCACACTAAACTAGGCCGAGAAAAACAAAAAATCACGATGGGTAAAAAAAAAACTAGAGAGTCAGAGGGGGAAAAAAAGGCAAAAGAATTGCTCAGCCACAGGATTGAACTGAGGACCTTCGCATAACTTGATATTCTTGATGAGAGAATATTAGTACGACGCTCTAACCAACTGAGCTAGCCGAGCAACTGATTTGTTGTTGAAGAGCGAGCTCTTATTACTATACAAGACATGTACAAACCACGGAATCAAGGTAAAAGAGAACTTGCAATCAAGTAGAAAACAGACAAAAATGTGGAGAAGCTGGGAATCGAACCCAGAACCTTTTCCATGCTTGTATCGCATGCTAAGGAAACGTCATACCACTAGACCACATCCCCGGAGGTTGTATCGCCGACTAGGTTGACGATGCGTTGACTCACTGTTGCGTGATTGGATGGTGGTCGGGTTGTTATTGAGGTATAATATGGTGGCTTGTGGGAAGATCGTGGGGAGTATAGGCACTATTACGTACGGATGGCGGAATGGGAAGGTAGGGGACGAGTTGATATGATCAAGAAAATGTTACGTGCTGGGCAGGTAGGTGACGAGACTGACCTGTGTGTGTAAATCAGACGGCTGACTCGTCTAGAATATAGTCAGAATGGTGCTCAAGGATGTTGGTGTTGCATGTCCGAGTCGCAGACCGACGGATGGGTAGCTGATTCAGGTGGGTCTTGAAACTAACAAACCCCGTGGATGAGTCGTGGGAGATGGACATGATAATGATTCTGATAATGATTCAAGGTTTGAAGAATATATATGAATACTCATGCGTGGGCCAGTATCTATTCAAGATACAGTCCAGCTAACTGGTGGCACATGTGGTGCTTGGATGCGCTTCAATTACTCACTTTTCGCTGCGTAAAGGGATAACTGCTCTGATGATTTGTCAAAGAATATTGAAAAGTAGTATAGAGTTTAAATTATCCTACCGCGACGTACAAAAGCAACGAGGCTGTCTGGTATTGGCATTCCATGTTGGCATCTGCTGAATACAAAGTGTCTCTGTATTTCTAAGCAGATGCGCTAGGTAAGCCGGGTATGCACATTAGACCCCTCCTTCGCTGACTGGGTGCTGGGCGGCGCGGTGCATTTCAAGTTGTACAGAACCTTGAAGCAATTGATTTTAGCTTCGATGAACAACATATGTCAAGGATTGCACTGTGGGACTAGAATACTTCCATCGAAACTCCTCTGGTCAGAAAATCATGGAGGTCCACGCGTTTTATGGTACTCAGAACAATGTGAGAAGCTTCAGCGGATGCTGGACTTGCCGGCTCAGGCGCAAGAAATGCGATGAGAAACATCCCGTTTGTGGCACCTGCACAACTCTGGAAATCACATGTCACTACAGCTATGACAAGCCGGAATGGATGGATGGCGGAAAGAGACAGGAACAAATGGCCGAAAGACTGAAGCGCGAGGTCAAGGAAAAGGCTCGTTGGCGTCGAGGTGAACGACCCGTCCAGCTGCCTGAGGAGCCCGCCGATCATGATACCCCAAAGACTCTACCAGAACGCCGACGTGAGAATGCCGCGGCCGCGAGACGCGACGGAACGCCCGGTACTCGGGAGGACGTGCTGTTGGAGTCGGAAACATGCGGTGCTGGTTGCAAAAGCGCCAGAAAGGATACACGCGAACACACAGAAGTTGGACCATCAGACGCTCTACTACTGACGTTTTACATCGAACAAGTACTGCCATTCTTGTTTCCCTTCTACCGCCCGTCACTCTTGCAAGGCGGGAAAAGCTGGATTCTCGAAATGGTCTTGACCAGTCCCGTGGTCCGGCAAGCAACTCTGTGCCAAAGTTCCTACTTTTTCGCCTTGGCGCAGACGACTGGTTGCTATGTGCCTTGTAACAAGGTGCTGGGACAAACCCAGGATGCTTTTGAAGTATTGAGACGGGCGCTGGAGGTGATGCGCGGACCTGGTGACATTTCAGACCATATTTATGGCTCCGTACGCGTCTTGGCATCCATCATGCAAGTCCAGCGTTTTGAACTGGCCGTGTTGAGCTTTGAAAATTGCCAGACGCACCTGAATGCGGCTCTGGCCCTCTTCAAACAACTTTTGGGAACAGTAGATGGTGCTGAGCCGGGAAGAAGCGGCATCGACTTCAACACTTTGATGACGCGTCTCGGACCTTCCTCCTGGATTGCGAATTCTCTCAACATTAATGTTCCCAGTGCTGAGCAGTCTGCCTTGGGCTTCTCGGCCGCCCTTCTGATATTCGATGACATTGTTGCCAGTACCAGCCGTCAGGAGCCTCCAAAGCTCTACGACATGCTTGACAGTCTGCTAGGTGACGAAGATGGTCTTGACGCACCGATTGATCTCGAAGCTGTTATAGGCTGTCAAAACCTGGTACTACTCCAAATAGCCAAGATTGCCTCGCTGGATTCGTGGAAGCAGCATTGCAAGAGAGCTGGGACACTGGACCATCTGGAGCTCGAGCGCAATGCCGACGTGATTGAAAACACGCTGCGAACACGTTTGATGTATCTGGATGAACAATCAACCACGCCGCAAGAGAAAGAAGAGAACCTCCTCGATATTTTCGCAGAGAGCTATTGCTTTAAAGCACATGCACATGCCCGTCAAAACTCATTGGTCACTCGAGTCTGGGCGCACGCAGCATTGATCTATCTATCCGTCGTGAGATACGGATGGCAGCCCAACATGGCCGTTGTACGCAATTCGGTCGACGGCATTATCGAGGCTCTCACATCCCAAATAACATCGCCAGCACTGCTGCGCTCCATGGCCTGGCCGTTCTGCGTCGCCGGATGCATGGCGACAAGTGCACAAGAAGACCAGCTGCGCGTCTTAGTCAATACACTACAACCGCCGAGTGTTTTCGGAACGGTTCACAAGGCACGAGACATTATGGAGAGCGTATGGAAGAAGCGAGACGCTCCCGATAGTGAGAATATCGACTTTGCGGCGTGTTTCAAAAGTCAAGGTGATCTTGTATTGCTGGTTTGATTGAGAGAATTGGTATAGTCGAGACAACTGATGATATCTCTACAAGACCCTGGACCTTGTAACCCACTCCAGCCTCGGAATCTGTCCCGTTAGGCTGTAGCGACTCGGACCGGTCCTTAGAACTGGACATAACCCTTGCCCTTCACAAAAGTGGCCAGCCATGGCACCTTTCCTTCGTGGTTGGCTAGCTGGGCATAGAAGTCGCCGTGTGCCTCACCATCTACTTCTCCGCTAGCCGGTTTTCCATTCTCGAAGCGCTCATCGGCGTAAAAGAATCTAGAAGAAACAATCATGTCAGAAGATACTGCGAAAACATCTCATGTCATGATTTTACATACCGGAAGCCTTGAGGCACGTACAAGGCGTCGGCTGTACCAATCCAGTACGCAGACGCCGACTTGCCCACTCCCAAGTTCAAACCCATCGGAAACGGCATAATCATCGAGTTCAAGGCGTTGCCCGTGTAAATAAAAGTCTTCTTGGCCTCTTTCGGTAGCGTTTCCCACCCGAGGACGGCCTCTTGAGCAGCCACATAGGCGCTGACAGTGTTGACGTTCAGATCAGCAGTGACACTCGCTGCCGGGATGGACAGAACAGAGTCCGGCTTGGGAGGCGCCGTCATGGATGCCGCATTGTAGACAACGACGCTCGGGGCCGTCTGGAACTCTGACTTTACGGCTGCAAACAAGCCGGGTATCGCGTCTGGCTTGGAGAAATCAGCCTTCAAGGAGAGAAAGCCTTGGTCGTTCTTGGTTCCACTGCCGCTCCTCGAGGCAACGGCGACACTGTAGCCACTGCTGGCAAACTTTTTGGCGACGGAGGAACCGATTCTGGGTCCAGCTCCAAGAATGAGTACAACAGGTTTGGAAGCCATGATTTTGTAATAGAGACTGATGAGGGGGTTGTGATGATTTCGGTAAATGTCTAGGTTAGTGGGGTTTACTGTGAATTGATGACTGCATATGGGACCTCCGTTTCAAAACCAACATGAACAGAGAGACATTCCGCATTTTATATCCCATCCAAGTTGATAAGCGCCCTTGACATGTCTCTCTTCCATTGCGAGGATTTGTAAGCGGAGAAACCACGACTCAGCGACAGAACGTATAGTTTTGCGAATGCATCAAGAACGACCAGAGTCCAATGCCCTTCAATCTCCAACGCACCACCAACCTCCCAAGGTCCACCCCCGAATCCTTCAGCCGTAGCGGGAATGGGCTGTCAAGACCCACAAGCCGCGCGGGATGTGCCAAGACTAGGATTTTGATTATAGAGCAGCGCTACCTTTGGTTTAGCCGAAAGGCAGAGAAAAGTATGTCCGGGTACATAGTAAGCGGGATCTCATGCAGCTGCCCCCCCGAACCACCTAGATCAAAACGCCTTGATTACCTGATATTTCGCAATCTTCAGAATCATGTAAGCAGGCAGCCAAGCCGCGCGCTTGGTGGGTCGACTTCCCGTTTTACCTTTCTTGACCCCTGCAGACTACTCGTGCAGAGACGGACTATTCATTGACACATTTGTCGTGTATAGGCACAAGTAGTTTCTGATACGCTTTCTAGGGAAATTTTCTTGACTATAGTCGGCTTGGTCGATTTGCAACATACGCCTCATATGATTTTTTCCACCATGCTATAGATCACTGCCATGTGAACGACGGCGTCACCAGATTCGGCACCCGAGCAAGACGCGCGATGCATATTCGCAGTCGCTCTTCAATCATGCATTGTTCACATAGGAATGAGTCTATCAATTGGATTATTATATAACGAACCGAATCTCAGTATTGTTTATTGTTTCGCAAGCTCCAACACATGACACATGTATCATTCAGCCCTTCTCTTGATACTTTTAGCCATCGCTTTTGTTCATTATCCCTCTCAGCAGAACCTGAAATTTTCTTGGCAAACCATCACACAACAATCTTCCAAAAACGACCCCATCACCATGTCTACAGTCTCACCACGAATGCCCGTCTACTTTCTCGGCATCGGCGGGCCCAACTTTTTGGAAAACACGACACACCCCGCCTACGCCCAGCTGGCCCAAGTCGGACACGAAATCACCACCGTGGTCAAGCCCAAGGCCGTGGTTGTCTTTTCCGCCCACTGGCAGGGCGGCCCGAGTACCATTCAGATCAACACGGCCGCCGAGACGGATTTGATTTATGACTTTTATGGCTTTCCGCCGCATTTCTACGAGCGCAAATATCCCAACAGGGGAAGCCCCGAGATTGCCGAAATGGTGGCTGGCCGGCTCGAGGCTGCTGGTATTCAAGTCGAGAGAGTCAACCGCGGTCTTGACCATGGTGTCTGGGCTGGCTTCATTGTCGGTATGTAGACGGACGAATATGACCATGGCTTTTTACTAACACGACACTGCAAACAGCTTTCGACCCTGAAAAGAATCCATTGAATGTGCCTATTATACAGGTCTCGCTCTTCGGCAACGAAGATCCGAACCAGCATTACCGCGTCGGTCAGGCGCTAGAAGGCCTACGCGATCACGGTACTCTCATCGTCGGCGCAGGTATGGCTGTACACAATCTGCACGACTTTCGAGCCACGAGAGGTACAGGATCAACGAGACCGTAAGTTATTGGTCTACTACTGAGCAATCTCAATGCTGAAGCTGACGGGCGTGTACAGGTATACCCTCAGCTTTGACGAGGCCTTGAAAGAGGCCGTCGCCGCACCCCCCGAGGGCAGGCAGGCGAGGATGGCGGCATTGCTGGCCCGCGGCGACGCCAGACAGGCGCATCCAACGTTTGAGCACATTCTTCCAATGCTTGTCGCGGCGGGCGCTGCGGGAGCTGATGTTGGGCACCGGCTTTGGACACTTCCCGAGGGGAGTCTGAGCTGGGCGCAGTATAGATTTGGGGATATTACTGGGCTCTGAGCTAGGTCGAAGTGTCTAGGAGTCTGATGTCGTCAAATCTCGGAAAGAATGAGCAATCCCAAACTTCCACGCAAGGTCATCACTGAGGATGGAAGAATCTGAGTAGACAATAGTGTTCTGCAATGATAGAGGGGTTGCAATGAACCACCCAGAATATTATTTGTAGTTTGATTCCGTTCAATCCTCTTGAACATATGAAAATGTACAGGTCTAACTATTGGGCCCTTTCCCTTGCCGATCCCACCTGCGGGTGTAACAGACAGCCACATGACCCACCCGAGCATCAGAAGCACTGTAAGAGGAACAACAACTGTAAAGTAGATGCAAATTTCCTGCACGTTGTCCCGAAATTTAAACATATTGGCAAAAGACACCGTGGCAACGGATGCTGCTGGCAGAAAAATGATGGTCAAAATTGACAAGGTCTTCATTGCCTTTGAGTTTCGAAGTGATCCGCTACTAGTTCGGCCGACAAGTTTCCATCTTGTTGGGCAATGTAGTTAAAGAGCTATCCATAGATTGCCAGACATGTATCTTTCCGACGCAAATTCACCGCGCTCCAAAGGACAAGTACAACATACTGTCTAGGTTGGTAATCTCGGGTCGGACCCGAAAATGCGACACTAGACCGATCGCATCCGGACTCGGCTTTATTGTATACCATAAGTGCTCTGTCATGACGTGCGACTTACAGCTTGCATCGACAAGGATTCTCCACGGATTATCATTGCCGCATGTCTGTGCCGACAAGGATTCTCCATGGATTGTTGATCAACTTTCGGCCAAAGGGCAACTTGAGATGCGCCGAATTATGGCGGCCATCAATGGAAATGCATTTGGTCATTTGCGTGAGTTACATGCGGGGTCTGACTGACTGTGTCTGTTGCTATTTTGAATTAATGATAAATAAATGTTCCAAGTCTCTTGCTGACGGGTAGCAGCGACATGATAACCGCATCTTATTGTGATTCGTGCCAATCGGTCAGATTTTGTGTATCAAATTCTAGTCGCCAACTCTGCTGTACATCAGCCATCCTTCTTGCCCTGTACATCATTCCAATTGCGGGTCTAAACGACAACAAATATGCGTACCTCGAATCTGCGGAAACTCTGGCTGCTCGTATTACTGACGCCTTTCGCACAGGCGTCAGAAGTGGTGGTCTCGGGGGCCAACGTGGAATATCGTGGTGTGCAGAATGACACTGCAGGGTGATTATTCTCACTGGAGGCGCATTTCAAATGAAAAGGACTTGCTGACTCGGATCCTTTCACAGCACCAACTCATTCTATGGCATTCGCTACGCCAAAGCACCCGTCTCGGATCTGAGATGGAGAGCTCCTGTACCCATCAAGTCTTGTGATCAGCGAGGCTCTATTGATGCTCGTCAGCGTGGGCCAATGTGCCTCCAGAGCAGTCCGGCATGGGCTGCGTCAATCTATGCAAACACAAGCGGCACACAAGATGAAGATTGCTTGTTGCTCGATATTGTGACGCCCATATCTGCGGCTTGCGATAAGCTCCCAGTCATGGTGCAGATTCATGGAGGAGGTCAGTTACATGGCGGCTCTTCCGTCGCCTCGGGACTTTGCTAATACCGTTCCATAGGTTACGTAGGCGGCAGCTCGAGTTCTTTTCCTGGTGCCAGTATTGTCAATCAGGCAAAGGGTACGCTGATTTACGTGGCTATTCAATATCGCTTGGGACCCCTCGGCTTTCTGGCCGGGGACGAGATTGCCGCAAATGGCTCATGGAATGTTGGCCTTCTCGACCAGAGAGCGGCGCTTGATTGGGTTCAGCAAAATATACACTTTTTTGGTGGCGATCCTGAAAAAGTCACCATCACTGGAGGAAGTGCTGGTGGGGGTTCCGTCAGTCTACAGATGACCATGTATGGAGGCTCAGCACCAGCCCCATTCCGTGCCGCCATACCAGGTGATTATTCCTCTCCCACACAAGAAAAGAAGTGTTCATATCTCCTAACCGGACACAGAGTATCCATGGTGGACCCCAATGTTGGACCAGGCTCAATTGAACAAGCAATATGAGACGTTTGTCCAGGCAGCCAACTGCACGTCTTCAGAATGCCTACGAAAAGCGCCATTATCAATTATCCAGCTCGCAACCAATAAGTCGCTCGAGACTGCTTACAACCAAGGCGATTATGCATACGGAACCTTTTACTGGGGCCCAACCGTTGATGGACATATCATCCAGGAAGGCCCCCTCCAGGCGTTCAGCCAAGGGCATTTCCAGCAAGTGCCCGTCCTCATTGACCGCGATGGCAACGAAGGCTTTTCGTTTTCAAACGTGTCCATTACCACGACAGATGAGGTACTATCGGATCTGGAACGTCTATGGCCAAACGAGACATTTCTCGTCGACGCTCTGGAACTATACCCAAACTCAACGTACAACGCCAGCATGATTGAGGCTTTGAATGTCATTCAGGCTCTTGAGGCCGCGTTGGGTGGCAACATGTCCTTTAGCAGCGCTTTCGTCCAGAGGGATGCCCTCTTTGGCAATGCACTCGTCAATTGTCCCACAGAGTACATGGCTCTGGCCGCATCTCGGGCGGGCGTGCCGACATATAAAATGATTTTTGATGCAGGCCTTCAACTTCATGGTGCGACCGGGCCATATCTTTTCTCAGATTATATTAATCGTGAGTGTAATCATTAAAGAAACGAATATCACACATGCTTTCACTAATCATTCACGCATAGCTTCGGGCGAGTTCACATATGGTCCCATTACTGTACCGGGGAATGACACCTTGGCCGTGATGATGAGAGATTACTTTATCTCGTTTGCTGTTGCATTGGATCCGAACAAAGCCGTCAGTTCGTCGGCAGGCAGACCGCAATGGTCACCATATAACGCAAGTAACAATGAGACGGCTGTCTTGCTCATCCAGGATGCTGGTATCAAGATTGTCAAAGACCTGGACGTGAATGCACGTTGCAATTACTTGGAGTCTTCAGCAGCCTACATGATGGAAATTTAGTGGCATGAGAGCAACTGTGGCGAATTGCGCTTGTAGGATGGAATATCTTTGCATTTTGAAGAATTGACAAGCGATTCAACTTGGATCGAAAAGATAATAAATGTGCCTACCCATTCCCCAGACATATGAAAACACATCATCTCCCCATTAAACATATGATCGCCGCCCTGTTTGCATCATTAATTTGGAATTCGTACCTTCAACCACTGCAAGTCTTGCGTACATTGTACAAAGTGTCATAATTTGTCGACACTCTAGATGGTGGCACAATAAGAAATGCATCAGTATCACACACACACACACACACACACACAAAAAAAAAAAAAAAAAAGGGCCATGGGGCCGAATGTACGATGGCGTGATATGTTGTTTTGTTCTATCCGATGTGTCACAGCATAGAGAGAGAATTGTCGCTGCAGCAAGCAAAATTGTTGTCTGGCGAGAAGATTCAAGTACGTCATGAGGAAAGGGTTCGAAGGAAACAATAGTCGCTGCCTTGAATATTGTTCAAGTAATGCAAAGGGAAAAAAAAAAAAAATACAACACCAGGGTTCCCCAGCCGTCAGCGCTCTGAGTACTAATCCAGCATTCTCAAGAGACACTGCGGGGGGAAAGCCCTTTCAGGATGCGTACTCGATCGCTGTTTCTATTACTCAAGTGATAGTCCTGCTACTGAAACACCATTAGTTTCTATATCACTTCCCAGGTCACTTCCCGCGTCACTGTCAGTCTTGAGCAATGCTTCCAGAGCACGCCGGCATGCATCGAGACGCGACACACTCTTGATCGTATCTGGGTGTTGTTCTCCCAAGACTTCCCGTTGCATTTGCACCAATTTGACGTAAATCTCCTCTGCCTCCTGGTATTTTTCCTGGGCGTAATATGTATCAGCTAGGTTATCCATGGCTTGGAGTGTATCCGGGTGTTTGGATCCAAGTATTTGTTGGCGCAGTTTTGGAATCTCCACTTCAATACGCTCGGCGTCGGCATATCGCATTTGACAGAAGTACGTCGCCGCAAGATCCGCCATACTACAGATCGTATCTAGATGTTTATCTCCCAGGATCTCGCGTCGCAGTAACAGCACTTCTGTTTCCATCTTTTCTGCCTCCTTATACCTCATCTGCTTATGGTACGTCGTCGCAAGAGACGATATACTCTCGATCGTATCTGGATATCTATCTCCCAGGATCTCGCGCCGCAATAATAGCACTTCCATATGCATTTTCTCCGCCTCCTTATACCTCCCCTGCTTACCGTACGTCGCCGCAAGAGACGCCATACTCCAAATCGTATCTCGATGTTTATCTCCTAGGATCTCGCGCCGCAGTAATAGCG